TCGAAAAAGGCAGCCCGAAAAATAATGAGAAGAAAACGCATAAAAATGGCAACAGATCTGAGTGCCAGAAAAAAAAATCTGTAAGTGTGAGTGATATAGAGGTCCTTGTTTATTATAGAAGACATTTCAATGCAGTAATCATAAATACTGTGAAGGTTGTGCTCCACTGAAATATGGCCTACAAACTGTTGATTGTTTTGTGTTATGTGATTTGTCTGACACCCATTACATTCTGGGTAATGGCAGCTATTTGTTGCTGTGCGCAGCAGGCTCCTTTCACAAAGGAAAATAGACAGCACTAAAAACCATACTCCAAATTTCATTCCGAAAGTAGCTTCACATCCTATAGTTTGTGCAAGTGTGATAACAGTGTTCCATATTGTCTGTTGTCAGGCCGCAGCCTCAAACAGCCATTGAGACTTCCTTAGATCTAGCAGAGAGATGTGCCAGCTAAAGAGGAAAGTTTAGACACAAGCGTGGTTGGGAGCAGACAAAGAACAGGTTTACACTTTACTGACTTTTCAGGCAGTTCTCTTATTGGGAATTCTTTTTCAGTAGGTTAAAGGAAACCTGTCGTGGGAGAAATACATTCTATCTCCGTGCCTTTGTCATCAGCAATGCAATACTAAATGGCTGTCCAGGCTATTTTTGCTTTCAGCTGTCTTCCATAATCTTTCTTTCTTTCTGTAAAATCTAATGAAGGGGGAATAAATTGGGCCCCGATATACCCGTTGACTGTATTTGCATTCTGGTTGTCATCAGACATTTAATTAGAGACATAGGGGTTGATTTACTAACCTTATAAACACACCATGAACGTGTATACACCTCTGTAGTGTGTTCCCTCCCAGCATGATCTATGGGAGGAATCGAAACACCTTTGTAGTGTGTACACACCCAGCAGGTGTGTTGTGCAAAGCCCTGCAATGAATTGCAAGGTAATGTGGTGTAAATTAGCTCTATGTTATGTTGCTTGCGTTGATGAATGCAGGAATGTAAATGCATTAGCTAACCATTTTTGTCTTAACTGTGAAGCAGCATTATATATGCATCATGTGCATGATTTTTCCATATATGGCATTAGTGGAAATATGCTTTTAGAGACTTTTTGGTTGATAAATACGTTTTGCTGTGTGAAAATCACACACACCTGGTGCGTGCGTGTGTTTAGGTTAGTAAATCACCCCCATAGACTCCTATCAGCTGATTTGGCACTCTCATTTGACCTAGCTATGTGTGGACATCTTAATTCGGGTAACCCCTTTCAGCAGGGAGGCCCTCGATTTTTGTGATGAGTTGCATAGTCAAAGCCATAAAGCTTTCTTAGTGATTTTGTTGTTTTGGTTGAAAATTGATGGCCACGACCTCACACCTACCTCTTGTGCCAGAAATGCATAGGCTGCCACTGCTGAAATGCTGGTTGCTTGATGTCATACCGCTGCCCTTGCTTTAGTATTTTTAGAGTCTCTGACTTGGAAGATGCAGGGCCATTGTTGATGGACTTTGTACTGCAAAGGCAGTGCGCTTTTGAATTTAGTTTAAGATGCTTCTCAGATCATTTATAATTCATTGCAGGTGCATTTGACCTTCTTCTGACTTCCATTTGAACTGCTTCAAGAAGTTTTTGTATTTGTTGGGGATCCCTTCCCGCCCAACCAGAAGTTGCCTAGGAAGCAATATACAACTGGCTTATGTTTGCTGAATGAAAGCTGATTAGATGGGGTTTCCAGAACCCTGTGATGCCCTGTACCACATTGGTGCAATGGGTTGTGCCCCATACAAGTAGAAAACAGACATGCCCAGCTGATGTATTTTGGGCCTCATGCAGCCATCTTCTTTGCAGCCCCTTAGTGGTTTAAGAATTGAAATTGAACAAGGTCCTGGCTGAAGCACATTTCCTTACATAATTTTCAGCTGAACATTTCAAGAAATGTTTTACGGCCCCTTGGGATAAAATAAAACTTTGTAAGCTAAAATTGTTACTGCATTGTTAATTATCGAAGTGGTATAATATTTTCCTTAAATTGCATAGCTGTGGCCCCTGGTAGACAATGTGGCCCCTTAAAGATTAATGTCAGTCAGTTCAGGCCTCAGTTCCAATGAGTTTGACATACCTGATGTATAGACAAATTTACATTGCAATTGTATACATTGCCCAGTCATCTCTTCATATGTAAATACGGGGTTTTCCATGTTGATGACGACTGCTTTATCTGTCCAGTTCCTCTGTTTCATTAATGGAAAACACTGGGCTAAACAAAAATTATTTAGTTGTTTCTAATGTCAAAACTCTACCTCGGAGGTAGCGAGCAGAATAGCCGAGCCGAATGCCGCTCGGCGGCATTCGGCTATTCACTCACTGCCGTTTAGCCCCAAGGAGAATAGGGTTGAACGGCAGTGAGTGAACTGCCGGAGCTTCGGCTCAGCTGATCCAGATGTTGGATTGGCTGAGTCGAACGGCTTCTGCACTTCGGCTCAGCTGAACATGAAGAGCATGTTCGGCTGACTGGAGGCAGCCAATGTATGACTGATTTTAGCCGATGTATGGCTGAAATCAGCCGTACTGAGCTGAAGTGAATAGCTGAAACAACGTTGGCACGCTTATTCACTTGGCTGCCTTCGGCAGCTTAATGAATAACCCCCTAAATGTTAATACTACATTAGATTGTATTTTTGTCTGTGACTGGACCTTTTTCAAGACCATTGGGAATCAGTGATAGGCATGCTTTGTGTGTGGGTCTGCCCCCACTATTGGCAGCTTTAATATGCTGAGGATGAGGTGTGACCACATCCACACGCAGCTTAATGTTTGTTAATTTTTCCACATGTGTATGACTTTTGTTAGTGCGTGTTTTTGCTTATTTTGTCTGGATTGCATAGTTTTTCTTTTACTGTATCCCTCTTCTATAGCTGGCAAATTCTTGTTTTGTCTCTCTTTTCAAATGAAGATTTTCATTATAAACATCAGGGCGTAATTATGTTTACGCTTTAATATCAATAGCCTGGTGAGTCTGTAAACATAATTACTTAATAGGGCTAATTATAATTGTATTTTTTTTTTATTTAGAAAGTAGTGCGCTAAAAGTAAATTAGGAAAAACATATTATTTACATCGCCTATAGCTAATGATTTAATGTTATTACTTTTCACTTTGCACGTTGAGCAAACAAATTATATAAGTTGCAGCAAATTAAACTCATTTTAGTGCCATGCTGGATCCTGCACATATTTAATTGTTAGAATGTGCCTCTTCATTTGTAGTGCGCCACCAGAAATCAATTAGAATATAAATTCTTATGTCAAACGCATTGGTAAAGTACCCATAAAACTAAGCTACAACTTGGTTTATTAAAAAACTGCATGTGTGTAAATATGAGGAGACATATTGTCCTGCAGAGCCAACACTTCCTTTTAATAATCGTACTGATGGAGGGAACAGTACAAGAAATACCTACTTAACCTAGAGTTTTAGAACTCATGTAAACATAATAAGATGGAGGTATTGGGATTCTACATGAGGGAAGTCACACCACTGTATACCTTAATGTTTACAAGAAAGTGGTGTCACCCGCCTGATTGCCCCAAATGGCTGAGTTGTATGAATCACAAAAATTGCTGGACAGAATTCTGAATCCTTTGTCAGATAAGACTGTTATCATTCTGGTATTTCAGCTGTGTATGTTAGCTTTAACTTTGTTAAATTATGTACCCCTTTCTGTTACCCATTGTAAAAGCTACAAATGAGCAGTGAAGATGAATTTTCCCTTAGAGACTCATGGGCTCCAAAATTGGCTAGTGCTTCACATTTGTTATCATAGGAAAATGTATTGCTTTTACTGTATAATTAATTAAGCTTCAGATGATCTGGGGCCTTCCTTGACAAGTATTAAGTAATGCAGTAAGATTAAACCACTTGCACTAGAGATTAACTAACTGCATGGTTGTAAGCTACTAGACAGCACAAGTCTTGCCAAGTATGCTAGAAGGAATACACATATTCATATGTTCTATGCAGTGCTGATGCGGGCTCTGATTTAATTCCCAGCTGTGCTGTCATAGAAATGTTTGAATAGAAGGGTACAAAATATTGGACATCAGCTTGTACCTTATTTGTCCCCAGTTGTGCACAATCTTAGTAGAGGGACATCTGCTTAAAAGGCAGGGTTCAATAACAGTTTGCAAACTTAATGAACTCTATCAGCAAAGAATGGCTGGGGTTAGGTGGCAGAGACACAGCTCGATCATACCCTGATTTGGTTGTGACACATGTTAAATAGTTTTCAGAAATTTCTCATACAACTCTGACATAGTGCTGATCAGACATGAAAAGGGTTCATCAGAAAGCTCCAGTCGACTAGCACTGAAAAAATGCCCGATAATGCCAGGGTGCATACCTCCCAACTTTCTGCAAAAACCCACAAGGGCTTCTTTTCCACCACATATTTACCTTCATACTGGCCTTTTAAAATAACACATGCAATACTTAGGAAATTGGAAAAATGTATGCACATTAAAACACTTTTGTTAAATATAGAATACAATTATTGGTTTGAGATTTATACTACTGACCAAAAAGAGGGATATCTGAAGGGGAAAGAGTGACAGAAATATTTGGTTTCATCAGGGACATGAGAGTGTGTGTGAGGTGAGGTGATGGTAAGAGGGTTAAAGAAAGGCATGTGTTGCAGCAAATTAGGTTATTCCTTTTACATCCTAAGCTGTCCAAAGAACACAAATTCTGATTGGTGTCTAAGTATAAAAGACACTCACTAGCTGTGGTAGCATTTTGTATGAGAGTTATACTGCAGTGACAAATGGTGGGGTACGGGATCAGCAACGTGACATCAGCAAGGTGCCCAAGGTTTTTTTTCCCTTTTTAGTTGAGAACTTGCAATTTCTTGCCTACATTGATTCAAAAAAATCTACAAAGTAAATAAAACCACGTTGCCCAGCATTTATAAATACAGTGTTCATTACTTTTTTTTTCTATTTTATTTCAGGACTAACTCCACCAACAACACCACCTCACAAAGCCAACCAAGATAACCCATTCAGGACTTCTACCAAGCCGAAGTCTTCTTGTAAGCCTGTTGTGCCCCCCGCTAAGAAATCTCGCTACATTGAGTCTTCCACTATTCAAGTTATTAACTCTAAAAAAGGTCCCGAACAATCTGAACTGTATGCACAGCTGAGCAAAACCTCCGTGGTCATTGGACAAGAGGAGAAAAAAGTGAAGCGACCTAGTTTACGGCTTTTTGGTGACCATGATTACTGTCAGTTTATGAATTCAAAATCAGAAATACGTATAAGCTTAACACAAGAATTACAGGCCTCAAGACAACTTGAATGTAAGGATCCTCTGCCTGGGAAAAAAGTACAGATCTATTCAACTAAAAAACAGGAGAACCTGAAAGACAGTTTTGAGTTGGCGATGCCAAGTCCTCAGAATGGCAATAGGAAGCCACTGCAAGACCAAGAGATCCGTGCAGAACTTAATAAGCACTTTGGTGACCCAACACAAGCAGTCTATGAGGAAGAGAACAAAAATGGTGATGCAAGGAGCAATGATTACAGTGTTGATCAATTCTCTAGACTACCTATGTTTTTAACCTCTGGACTGGGTATGGATAATTTGTTTGATGAAAGCGAAGATGAAAATGACAAACTGTGCTATTCCTGGGATGGAATACAATCCTATTCATTGTTTGACGTATCACCTTCCTGCTCAACTTTCAATTCTCCAAGCAGATATTCTGTTTCCCCACCAACATCCCTTTTATCGCAAAGGATATGTTCTCGGTCGAGATCTAGATCTTATTCTCAAAACAGATCATGTTCTCAGTCTCCATATTCACGTTCAAGATCAAGATCTCCATCCAGCAGATCTTCTTCAGGGTAAGTAAAATAAGCACTTTAAATCCTGGTAATTTTTCTGCATAACCTAAAGGGGACTCTCATGTTAGGATCATAAAGACTCCATTGCTGACCTCCTTTTGAGAATGCTTGTTTCCTGACTGTCATGCTTCAGTACTTTCTAAATCTTTTTTGTTTATTTTATTATATTTTATTTTTTTAAACTTAATTTCATTGCTATTACAATGTGACAGCATTAGATAGGTGACATGAAATATTTATGGCAACATAATTGATCTGTTAGATCCCTGATGTCTCCCCTGCATGGTCCCTGAGCTGGTCGAGGACAGAAAGTCAATGATCAGCTCACCAACACAACAGAATCCAGCAGATGACAGCTGCGAACTTAGAAGTGCTCAGAGCAGAGTGCTAAGAGTATGTGATCTCTTCTTCCTAAACACCACTCAATATTCTAAAGCTAGTTTTTGTAGATTCCAGGCAGAAGGCTTTAGGATAGTCTCCCTGCATTCCAAAAGTGGAGGATCAACTGTGAGTGACCAGAAAGTAACAGCCAGGTCCCAAATCCAAGATGGCAGTACAAAAAGGAAAAAGACAAAGCAGTTAAATGGCAGTGGCAGAAGAATCTCTCTGCATATGTTCTAAAACAAATAGAATAGCGTTAGAGCAAAAGGAAGGCAGGTGGGCAAAGCACATGTTCACTTTTAATTCTTTGGAAAGGTAATTAGGTAAATATAACTTTACTCTTCTGAGTTATGACCAAAATTGGCTTAAAAGGGACCTATTATTAAAATGTAGACGTTTGAATCACTAGGGCTCATATTGGATCAGTTACTAATAGGAATTATTTCTGTTGCAATGCTTTCTATTAGTAACTGATGCAACAATGAGTGACAGTGGTATTGGGGACTCTGGCTGCAGGCTCCACAAATTGCATATTTCGGTAATTCCTGGACTAGAGGCTGGGAAGAGAAAGGACTAAGCTATAACGTATTATAAGCTCCTCTTGTTGTTTGCTTTGTGATAAAACAAGAATAATTTTGATAAATAAAATGAAAAAACATATTTGTAGCTCAAAATGGCTGTTGGCATTTAAGTAACAATGACTTCTGAAGGGGTTATAAGACTACTTACAAATTTGAAATGTATAATAAAGGTCTAACAAGCTCCAGCACATTCTATCACAAAAGGTTGCTTGCCTTGTACATGATATGGCCATGGTAGAGGTAGGGAAGGACTACACCATCCCTTCTCCCTCTTCTCTACCAGTCCCCTTTCACCCCCTTGCCATTCACTCTCCCTACACTACATCTCTTCCCTCATTTCCCTCCTCCCTTTTTATCCTTCATTTGATTTCAGTTAAATACAGCAAAGCAAAAATGCTTTTTCATTTCTGCTTGATAATATATTCCCCAACCCCTGTCTTATTCACTCTGTACTTCCTCCAACAGTAGTACTGTGTTTATCATCAGAATGAAATCAGTAGTAAATGTTATCTTATGGAATAGACCTGAGAAGGCTGCACACAGTTTTGAGATTAAAGGAAAATGTAATAATGTTTGCCGTGGTGGGAAGACAAGACAGAACCTCCAGCTGGTGGGTTTCAGTATGGAATCCATGGGATCAATCAAAACCTGTGTGTTACCTCAGCCAACACTTTATTTTCATTGTCAGATAGAAGTATCCCTTGAAGTGAATCTGTCGCTAAAATATTACTTTTAGTAAAGTGGCCCCTACAAAGAATGCATGGAATATTCACCTCTCTTGCTGCCTGCACCACCAGTCTCTTCAGTTGTGAAGAGAAATCACAGGTTCTTGCTTTACTACAGAACACAAAAGTGACGTAGGGGACAGCAGATCGAACTACCAACTACATCGGAGGGACCAGGAATCTGACACTTCCAAAAGTGTACGGTTCAGCCAGCAGAGTCGATTGTTACTCCAGAGATCAGTAATGCGGGTAGCAGGAGAGGTGAGTATTAAGTTCTTAGTAGGGTCCACTTTACTAAAGAGTTTTATTTTAACCAAAGAGTCCCTTTAAAGTGTATCTAAACCAAAGAAAGAAAATGAAATATGTCATAGCTTACCAGCCCTTATATGTGGTGGTCGCGTTAGTTTTCTTTTTCAGTCTCCTTTTTCTTTATTTTCACCTGGTGATCCTGCCAGTAATGCACTTCATGTCCTAAGGTGAGAATGCTCACTCACTGAACTGTATGTATAGATATGCATTGTCGCCCAAGGACAGGAAGTATGTTAGGCATACAGAACACCCCCTCTATCATCATCATAACATGGGTGGAGGGTTCTTTAGTCCCCAAAGAGAGTTGGAAACCATGGTGATTGGCAAGAATGCACACAAGTTAGCAGCTCATTAGATTTCTTACAGGATCAATAGGTTTTTTTTTTTTTTACTTATTGAATAGATATAACAAAACGCTTTAAGTGGTATGTTTAACAGATGAAAATAAGTTGATTGTCAGGATTTACATGAACTTTAAAAGCATGATGTTCACTCGACATCCGTTTTATTTTTTTCAAGAATGATTATCAGTAGGGAAAAGTATAAGTGATAGCAGGTTAGTGTACTATACATTCTGGTACATTGATCTATACACTGCCTTATTATATAATCCCATACTGGACTCTCCAAGATACATGAATTTGGATAGCATAAGTAACACAAAAAAGCCTTGCCTATCATTGCAGCATTCATTATGGAGATGTGTGAGGTTATCGATCATAATCTCAGATTTTCTCCACTAACTCTGAAGTAGCAGAGAACTGTATATATTAGGCTTTAATTATTAACCCTTTTGATAAAAACCTGTGTACCTAAGATGCATTGCCTTCAGCACTGTGTCAGTTATTGTTATAAATTGCCATCCAGTGTTTGTAAAAGCATAAGAATGTGCCTGATACAGTGAATGGAATGCGCATGGGCCTATGAATTAAAATGTACATGATAACAGGAACAATGCATTCTGTTTAAGCAGTCAGTGTTATTGATGTCAAACATACCTTGTCCAACGTATGTACAAAAATGTAGAAGCACTAAGCTACAAAATAGCTATATTATACTAGTCGGCCATGGTCATGTGAATTTCCAAGAAAGCTGTACAGGGAGGTGGTCATTAAATAGAATTTAGTAAAGCAGAAATTTAATCTGCTTATATTCTGCCTTCCCTGGTCCCTTCCTCTACTCATGTCCACATGATAAGTAAATTTTAAATAAAACATATCGGTTTTTATTACATACCTTACTTTAGACTCAGTAATGTCACCACTCTATACAATATAGACAGATCATGGATGGTTGGATGGGCCAGCAGGATGCTGTACATAGCTTTCTAAAAACATCACAGCACCCTACACCAGTACTACTCTTACGAGTCCTGATGCAAACAGTGGGCTGGCTCTTTTGAGGGCTTATACAAATATAAAAATTGCTTGACAGGTAGTTGTCAATCTGTAGAAGTGGGCATTCCTAGGCAGCCTGTATTTGTATGCAGATGCTCCAGGTAACACCCATATGTGATGCTGAGCCACCATGATTTAAAGAATTGAAATCTAATAAATGAAATAGGTGGGCCAGTGACAGTCAGGCTGGAAGGCTAAATATTGCTAGATGTCTTCCAACCAGAAATGCTGACTTGCTGCAGTTTCTAATGCCAATTGCAAGAAGCCCACCGTTTGCAATGAAATCAAAGTAAGCAATTTTAGTACAGGAGAGGGGTCTGTACTGAGGGTAAGGCTGAGAGTTCAGCTTTAATAAAATACCTCTATTGATCCAAAGAGGATTGCTAATTCTCTTTGAAATGTCAGCACTACAGTTCTTTGTAAGTTAGATCTGGTTGGGGAACAGCTATAAGCCCATGGAATGTGAATACGTCCTCAAGAATCATAAAATGTACTGTTTGCTTTAGGTTTGAATCTGACTGGAGTATTTAGCCAAAATGGAACAGCCCTTTCCCAAATGATAAAAAAAAAGGTCTAGTGGGCATTATTATTTAAGTGAATCCTTAAATGCTGTGTTTGTGCTAAAGCTTGAAACTCTGTGTCTGACTTACTGGTGTTCTGACTTTTTTTTTCTCCTCACAAGGTCATGCTGCTGCTATGATACTGATCATTGTAGACCCAACAATTCTGCAGTCTGTGCACGATCACGGTCAAGATCCCCATACAATCGTAGGCCCAGGTAGGTAATACCACTGCCTCTGTCTGTTGATATACTTAGGTCAAAATGCCTATAAAATGCCTGATGAGATGCATTTCATTGAGCATAGTGAAGTGTAGCATGTAATAGTGATCACCAACAGTGCACTGGAAGTCATTGTGGAATGCCTCTTTTTTTGTAGTTTCAGCACTTTTTGCTTATCGTTGAGAAAAAGAGAGAGACAGAAAATCAGCAGTTAAACTCTTCCATAAAAAAACATCTTTAGAAATAGTGCATTTCCTTTTAATAAATGTATCTTAAGCCTAAACTTTGGGTTTTTTCTGTTCTGTGACCAATAGGGACACCTGTTCCAATGATAACTGTTTAGGAGGAGATTTTCTTCACTTTGGATTTCCTCTTCTGTTCTGTTCTATGAACAGGCCAGAAAGTGTATTTTTGGATCATTCCCTATTCTTTTCAAACTTAAAAAAATGGATTTAGATAAACTTAAATGAAATGATGCAGCTTTGTAAAGCAAAACTACATCAGTTTAGACTGGGTTATAGATACATTCCACTAAACATTATTTTTCTTTATACCAGTGACATTGCCTCAGTCTAATTTCTGAAAACTGACCCTTTCTGTAAAAAAAAACCTTACTTAAAGCGGACCTTTACACATATCTTTAAAATAACAACAAACACACCGTTATAAATATTTAGTAATGACAATCTACAGCCACATACCTCTTTTCTTCCCCAGTCTTCTGGCAGTGGCCATGTTTACTAAGGGCAGATTACTAGCTTTCCTATTACTTCCTGGATTTCTGGCACATGTGACTAGACATGTGACCATGCACATAATTTTAGGGGAGGAAAATGCCTTTCCTTGAGATCTTGTGAGAATACAGATGAGATTTCCCAGCAATGCTCTGCTGCTGACAAGGCAATCCCAGTGTGCATTGCTTTGCAAAGTAATTTTGCCCTTTGAAAGCAGGAAGTGAATGTTCTGCAAGTGTAAGTATTTCAAAATCACAGCATTTTACACTTACATGTCTATGTTAGTATTAATCATCATACATACAGAGGGATGCATTGGTAGAATTTGATTTTTGAGTGTAAAGGTCCGCTTTAAATAGGGTCCTCATTCCTGCAATGGTCTGGGAGAGTAAAAAATACTTTAAAAATGTTGACCTTTGTATGACTATTTCTCCACATGGCATAGCTGAGCAGTTCTGAATCAGGGAAAGCAACTATGCCCCCAAAGATGCATCAAGAGCTTTTCATGTTCTCCCTTATGCAGTAAAGCAAATTTGTGAAGTACTAGGCTTAAAATTACTTGTCCTTTGCTAGGAAAGGGGGTAAATAGGAGTATTCATTGGTTCTATTTAGTGGCCAACTCATGTTGTGACGATACAGATATGACAGTTTTGGGAACCACTTTCTCTGAGGAGAAAAACTTAGGGGCACCAATAGAGAAAGGCCACAAAAATCTGTAAATGATTTGTGGGAACTGAAACTTAGCAATATGCCCTTATTTCTACAGCCAGATATTCTGAATGTAATCGTTATAGTAATTTTCACTGCTTAAAGTGTGAGGCCCCTATATCAGACTCAAATTGCATGTTAATTAATGGTAGAAAAGTTAAAAGACTTTATATTAGAATTTTTGGGGTGGAGCAAATGGTTTAATGAAGAGACATACACACTTTGCTTTGCTTTGCTTAAAAAGATGGGTTAATAGAAAGCTACCTTGAATAAGTAATATCATACACCCAGATTTCTAGACTCTTAGTAGTGGAATTGTATGGGTCTTCAGGTGGTAAGCTCATAAAATAAAAAAAGTATTTTTGAAGGTCAATGGGCCAAATATAGAGATACATTCCCTGTGTTCTAGTTATTTAAATTGGGCATTGCAAATACCGTGCTTTTCATTTAACTTTTTTGTACTTGTCTTGATTATGCAGATTTGATATAAAAACAAAAATATGTTGTGGGGCAACTTTTGCAGTGTCTGGTCTTAGACTTTAAATTAAGGGTCCTTTCATTGCAAGCAAAGGAGGTAAATAAGAGTATTGATTGGTTGCATTTAGTAGTTATATTTAGTGGTTAACTTGTGGTGTTAAACTACAGATACGACAGTTATGAGGAATACCAACATGAGCGGCTGAAGAGGGAGGAATACCGCAAAGAGTATGAGAAACGTGAATCAGAGCGAGCCAAACAAAGGGAACGGCAAAGGCAAAAAGCAGTTGTAAGCAATTGACTGAACTTACCTCTAAGATTATCTGTGTTTGAATCAGTAGCCTGGTGTATGGGGCTTTTTATATTCCTATGTGCACTTGTGCATGCCTTTTTATCTGTTGACATATTCTAACCAAAGCTGATGACAGAGTAGGTAGCATTAAAGCACGGCAGCAGGCACATTGAATTATTGGAGTATTCTCTGGCACCATGTTTTGTACTTCTGTTTTTTGTTTTTTAACAGTGTAAAAAAAATCCTGATGGCTTTTGCTTCATATTGCTAAAGGAGTATTATAAATTACATATTTAAACAATTTCCCAGCTGCAGCACAGTTATTTAAATATACTTGTATTGAACTAATGCTAATTGAACCAACCATAACAATTAAATGCATAAAAAGGCGTCTGCATATAGAGAGATTGATAGGTACCTTGGACATTATGCAACATTGACTTCACTCCTGAAGTCTTGACCACGCCTCCCAACTTCTGCGTTGTTGGTCAGTAAAGTTTCCCATCATAATGATTTGCCTTTAGTAAGGCACACAAGGGCAGAGGGGTGAAGCCAATCACTGTCTTCAAGTGATGAAGTCAATATTTGCATAGTAAAGCTCCTTTAGATTTTTGAGTTTGGTGGACACTATAATTAAGACTCAAGGAATGTCTATCTGGGTCTCTAGGTGTCAATTAAAGTCAGGTATCACCAGCTGCCTTCATATTTTTTCTATCGTTAGTTGAAATATCTGTAGTTGACGCAGAGATTTGCTTTAAGTCTCCTTAGCTTATTGTATAAACCCATTTGTAATTTATGTTTACTAGTCCTTTCATTGTTATTGTTGTCTGTGTTCACATAGTGGTTAAAATATGGCATCCCATTGTGCATGTGTTTAATGTGAATACACGGATAAACGCCAACTGAATATAAACAACATTATCGCTGCTGAATACTAAAGCAGAACACAGTAAAGCTTAATTCAGTATGCTGCTAAGTCCACACACTGCTCAGAGGTTCAAGGCCATAGAGGATGACATATGTGTCTGAGCAGGTGCTGAAGGACAGTGCTATAAAACATATGCATGGTATAGATTTCCATGAGTTGCTTCATAGTGATGGCTTCATAACTCACCCAGGGTCAATACAGATAAATCACTGGCTTGCTGTTTATTACATAGAAGACTGTAGGTAGCAGTGAGGTCACCGAGTGTCAGTTCAGGCAAATAGCAAGGATTTTTATCAATGGCTCTGATGTATGTTATTAGTATCTTCTAAACTACGGTGGACTCAAGGTTTAAAAGCCAGATTAATGCAATATTAAAGGTGTTCATCTAGCCAGCTAAACGTAGTAGTCGCAAAAAAGTAGAGAAATAAGTATCATAACTACCATAAGGGTCCTGAGGAAAAGGTGGTCTGCCATCAATGGGTAGATGACATGACTTTATAATGACTATGACTAGGGCTCCACAAGCAATTTTCACTCTTGCAACTGTGCGACTAAAATCGAATGCAATCGATTGCTGCAGTGTTTGCATCACATTAGCTTTTATGAGAGCTCCTACACAGAAGATATGCAATTACGCAGTTGGCCGATCGATGTTTCACAATCGCTCAATGCATGTCTTATCAAAGAATCTTATTAACCTATTAACCTCCATAGACTCGATGGGCAGTTGAAAGTTATCACTTAACAAGATTCCAGGGTGATTTTTCCTTTTTTAAGTATACCTCTGAGATAAGATTAGTCTCTCAGAAATCTTCCACAGTGACATATATAAGGGATAATTTCTCTGGAAGGCTCTGAAATTAGATATCACCCTTGTAGCCCAAGCTTACTGATGGCCATAGATGGCAATGCTCTAGCAGATTTAATCGCTTAACTAAACTAAACTTGAATTGTTTTTTTAAAAACTTTTTTATTGCATTCTTTTCTAAAATAAGAGGAATTTTAATTGATGCTTATTAATTGGATTTATATACCTGGTGGCCACTTGTTATATTAGCTTATGTGTGCTCTATTCATTTTTTTTAAAAGATATGGAATGTCATTTTGGTCATATATCAGGATCTTGGATGCGTTTCTATATACTTTATGTAGCTATAAGATATTTGCTACGAATGTTTGGGTCATTGGACTTTCAGATCCACGTGTTGCACAGTATGCAGGATTTGTGTTCCTAACCCACAGACCTGGGTCTAGGATGGCAGGCCTTCTGAAGGGGGGAGCTCCTGCTCACCAAGTCAGCAGCACCTGTAGAGAAATCAGTTGGTAAGCTGACAGCTGCCAGTGCAGGTCCATTCTGTTTTCATACCCTTTTCCCATGGTCCGTGGCATGATATCATATATCTCTGTTATAATGTTTTCATGGCAGTTTGACAATGTCTAGAGAAGAAAATAGAAACTTTGAAAACTCAAATCAGACAAAACATTCTTTTTTTTTTTTTTGAGGGAACTTAAAATTATGTTTGTAAGCAGAGACTTTCGAAGACTGGATGTTGGGCACTTGATAATTTAAAGTGCAGTTACCCTTTTAGGTTTCTTCAAATTTCAAAAAGATTTTATGTTGATCATGAAAAATGAACCAAGATAATTTAGTCTGATCTTGCTCTGTAATTATGGGCTCTTTTTGGACATATTAATATACTTCTTCATATAGCTTTTATTATTTTTGCTGCAGGAGGAACATAGAGTTCTCTACGTCGGTAAGATGAGAACGAACATGACCCGTAGTGAACTGCGAGCCCGTTTTGAAGTTTTTGGTGAAATTGAAGAATCTACAGTCAATCTGCGGGATGACGGGTAAGAGTCTGCAATAATTGTTTTAAATTAGTACATTTTGAAGACAGTCAATAGCCAGTTACTGACAAAGATAGGAACATTGAGGAAGGCAAAGCCATTTTGGAGAGCATAGCAGATGTTATATCATCTGCACCAGCCTCATTTCACAGGAAGGCAGATATTCTGCAGGCTGAGTCCTGATCCATAGTGATCTCTTCACTCTGCAGGCTGTTGTTTTTATAATTATCCCTCCCCTGTTTGCAAGCAGAGCAGCCTCAAGCCCTCAGAGCTTTTCATGCTAGTAAGGTCAGTTAAGATATCATTTCTGATGGGTTTCTATAGATATTTGCACTTTCTACAATCTCTTTGCTCCATTTACTTTTTCACTAAAAAAGCCAACTATTCTATGAAGCACCCCATGGTTTTTCACTTTGTTATATGTTGTATTTTCTTTCTCCTTTGCAGAGACTGTTACGGTTTCATCACCTACCGCTACACCTGTGACGCATTTGCTGCTCTTGAAAATGGATATACTCTGCGCAGGTCAAATGAACACGACTTTGAGCTATGCTTTTGCGAACGAAAGCAGTTTTGCAAGTCCAACTATGCAGATTTAGGTATGACTCCCATATTGTCATTAATGGCCCTATTTGATCAGCAGTGCAGTGAACATAGAGCAGTAACCCATATCATCCAGTCAGAATTCTCTTTCTTTGAGAACAACCAATACAAGAAGCATGCTTTGTGCTAGCTCTTACTACATCTCATTGTTGCTTTTACACTGTTACATTAAAACAAGTCTGCATAAATACTTCTGTTCTTTGGGGTGTTGCTGTGGTACATTGATGCATTGCAGTTTCTCCTTCAAGTTCTATTGGTCATCCTAACATTTTGTTATTTTGAGGTGTTGTATGTGGGAAATGGTTTAAACATGTTTTGAAGTAAAGCATTTGCTCTCTTGTGGAATTTTAGTCAATCACATAACATTTAAGTTGGAAATGCTTGTTGATCAGGCCATTATCTGTGATTGGGGGCAATGACACTAAATGGTATGTGCCTTTGCTTGGGCAGAGTGTAATGGCAATCCGTGCTTGATGTGGGTTTGCCATTGTTCTCAAGGTGGACTGCCGTGGTGAGAATTGGGCCCATGTGGATCTGAGGTCTATTTTTATATTGTGTTTTTGATTTGCACATAAAGGATTTTTAAGTCAAAATCCTTTTACAGATCATTTTTAAAGATACTATACATGCATATATCAGAAAGCAACTGTATATGCAGGTATATGTATTTTTTGCAAAGTATATATACAATTAAAACTTTTTTATTGTGGATAGAGTAGGGAATAGTAAAAACCTCTGTCAGCAGTCCCATCGGTGAGATTTCCCCTAACCTCCCCTCCTATAGATCCAATAGGAAGTGCGAGGAAATCTATCTGAAGTGAGGGAAATCTCTACTTAGATATAACTGGAACAAGTGTTCACATTGAAAAACAACTCAAAATTATGGATTTTCCCCACTTTTAGCCCCAGGACAAAGAGAGAGAATGAACCTCCTAAGAGCGAACAAAGGCAGAAATAACACTAACGAGGCTTCTAACTCCTCACCACTTTATCAGTTTGGCTTAAGATGCACTTTAATATTGTTTCCCAAATCAGTTTTGACATACCTTACGTTGGGCTCCAACTGCCAATGATACAAGTGGGGGAGAATGTTTGTAGAATAGTCATCTGAATTCTACAGCAGAGCAAAGAGTGATGGGTACACCAATGACATGTGAGCAATTAAAGAGCTATTTGATTCAACCATAATGCATTCTTGCTGTATCTGTGGTGCAAACCAAGGGCCTTCTGGGTAAGAAGGCAAGCCAAAGAAATGTCAGATAAAATCAGAGGAATAAATGTGTGTTCTGAAAGGCACAACCCTGCTGAAACCTATAACTTGCTGATTTTTTATGTGCTGCATCAGTTTTATTAACCTGTACTTTTTAGATACACTTTATCTTTGTGAAAGCCTTTTCTGTTCATTGAGAGCTCAGCCATGCATGCAGTACAAGATTTATTTTCTGTTTACTTGTTGTTGGATTGAAAGAGAGGCAGCATGGAGGGCTCTCTGGGTCTACCTTATTTAACACCTCCGTAATGTAGAGGAGCTTAGAGCTGGAGAGTAAACACAGCTGTTTGAATAACAGGACTCTGGTTAGTTGGCTTTAATCAACTCAAACATAATAACGATGCCCAGGAGAGATGTGGGAAAATAAAGGAAATGGCAGCGCAAGTATATTGTTATTTATTTAGTATTTAAGTGATTGCTCCACATTTAAAGCTGTTCAGAATCATTGCATTACATTCATTTTTTCACGCTCCTGTTATTTAATTTACAGCAAAAGGTAGCGCAGTAGTTTGATTAATTTACTGGCCTTAATTTACTAAAGAAGTAGAGATTGTTCACTTTCCAAAGTGAAGGTTCACTTTGCGAATAAAGAGAATTTGTGTTCACTTTAAAATGATATCAGAATGATCAAATCACTTAAAATGGATGCTGCTACTTGATGTTTAACAGTTTTAGTTTTCTCCAAAATCAGCTGGTCCCCTGAGCACTGCCCCTGATACCCTGCTTTAGAATTGGTCCTTTCACTTGTAGCTTCCTATGGAGACACTCTTGTGTGGGCTGTTAAGTTGTGTGTCTCCACAAACACATAGGCATGGCAAGGCAAGACACTGCTCTGTTCTACCTCCTCCCTTCTCCAAGCTAGTAGATTGGCAGCTGGTGGGGACTGCTCTGTCCCTGTTATCTTGCATTTAACAGGAAGTTCAGAGAAGCCTGAACTAAGTGAGTATCTTTAGTAAATCAACCTGACTAAGTTATGCTAACTCCGGAATCTTTTTTTGGAGGCAGCGCTTTAAAATTCGGAAAAATTCTTTTTTAGCTTGGCCAGCATGTTTAGGGTCAGGCAGAATTTACCTAATTAGGGGGACGGTAGCTTGTTTCTTTCAGGATGGGTTATGCTCAGTACCTAGGGACCTTGGCTGTGGTGTTGGCAGGATTTTCATCCCTTGGAGAACTGGCCCTTTACTGCCCTAGATTTAGTAATTGATCACAAGCATAATTGATCACAAGACTATTTTGGTTAATTGCAGATTCCTATCAAGGTCCCATTTGCACCTTTTACAACACAGACTTTTGTCGATTATTTTTTACCATGCAGTTATATACTTATTGGGGTTTTTTTGTGTTTTGTTTTGCTTTAGATTCAAATTCAGATGACTTCGATCCTGCTTCCACCAAAAGCAAATATGACTCCATGGATTTTGACAGTTTGCTTAAAGAGGCACAAAGGAGCCTGCGTAGGTAACATGCATGTCTGCCACACCCAACGGAACGATGGAGAATACCTCACAGACTTGATGTCCTCCAATAAGAGACCCTTGAAAGGCAACCTTAGGAATTTCTCCTACTTTACACTCTCCATTTCTCAATGGTTTACATGAACACAGCTGCTGAAGACTAAAGAGGCAATGTGATTGTCAGAGAAACACAAATACCTATATGCGTGTCAGATATTTCCTCACTCTTCATGGATGTCACAGTTATACTGCTCCAACTAGAGACGGTATGCTTCTCATTGGAAGCAAAAGTGCCAGCCATCTGCTAAAGCTCCTCAAATTCATTTACAGAAAAACTGATTGATTTGGAATAATATAAAATCAAGAAATCTATATGTATTGTATTAAATCAAAGGAATTTTCCAAGAAAATCAGAGGAATCGTATGCTGCTGATGCTCAACCCCAATGCAATCTTCACTTTTGTCTGATTTCAATCATTGCCCTGATGAAAAAAACAAACAAAAATATTGCAATATAGATGACGCCTTAGTAACTTTTTTTTTATTGGGAACCTGGTGAAGAAATCAAGGAAGCAGAATTTTTTGTAGTATCCGCGAGTCTGTATTTCTGTCTTTTACTTCAGTCTTTCGGTTCTGACACCCATGCAATTTCCATCGATGTTGACGCTCAACATCAGAAGCCTTGTAAATGGTCAAATTCAGAGCTTGTTCAGCAACGTATATATATATATATATATATATATGTTTATGTATTTATATATAAATATATATATATTTATTATATACACTATTTTCTGATGAGTGGATGTGGTGTTACATAATAAACTGAGTTGAGTGAAACTTTCTGAAACCGTGTCCAGGTAGTTTGTATCATTGTAATATGTACTAGTCAAGTATTTACAGATGTCACCCGTTTTTCTGCCAGTGAAGGGAGCACAGGCCTGCTCTGCCTTGCCCCCATCCCTGGCAGAGGAGCGGTTTGATGGAGTATTTTTATTTTATGTACATAGAGTATGACAATGTCCTTTATTTGTTACCGCTATGCACTGTAAATGCAGCCTTCTTTTAAATATGGAAATTGTTTTTTCTTAAAAAAAAAAAATCGAAGATATTCAAAAATGTAAACTGTACAAAGTGAAATACCAGTTGTATACTAATATATTTAGGAGCTGACTTTATGCTTTTATATATTTGATTTTAAAAAATTTTTTGTGTTTGAAAAACTATTTTATTGGCCTTAAAGGCTTGATTGATATGGATATCATGTTGCATTGTCTTCTTTAACAGGGGTGTTCTATAAATGTGAAGAAAAAGAAAGTGAAGGTGTTGCCTATAGCAATTCGACTCTAGCTGTTGTGATTATTATTAATATTATTTCGTAATTAAATAAAGCATCTAAATCACAGCTTTCAAACCCATTGGTTGATTGCCCAACGTCTCCACTTTCCTTTCCCCCACTGTTATAGAATGTCTTCATCTGCAGTAATACCTGCTCAGTAAATCCACCTCAAGATTTGCCATATTGGAGGTCTTTTCTGTACTAATTACTGTTTTTTATTTTATTTTTAATTATTTGTATTATTGTGAATCAAGAATGAATGTACAGTGTGATTGTTTTCACTACAGGCTCTTGTGCTTCTTTAATTTTCTGGAAAAAAACAAGCTGCTGGGTAACTCAGCACTGTATACCTTGTACCTTGAGTGATAGGGGTTTTTCTTGTCTAAACACTGTTTAAAAAGCCAGTAATTTTTTTTTCCTTGTCGGCACTGTTGGAATATTTGGCATGAGCCAGATTTTTACTGTTGTGCATCCTTTGCAAAGTACTGATATTTCATTCCGTTGTTTACTGAAGAACTATATATCAGTGAATGCTATTGTATTTGTGACGGTAATATGCTGATTACGCAAGAGACGGCCAGTTGAAAAGGATGCTAACACTCTCTTAGTACTGTCATATGCTGCAGTGGAAATGAGTCTCCTGTTGCAAGATAGTGTTGACTATGCATTAGTGTGGTGCCAGCTATGGGGTTGTGCTGCTAATCCTTTAATGACTTTAACTTTGTACGGCCTATACAAACTACACTAAGTTTAGATTCCATATGAACAAGCTGTTCGACATTTCTTCTCATCAGTTTAGCAACATAGACAATATTTGGGTTCAGCTTTGTGCACTGCATTGGGGCTTAAGTATAATAAGCTGAAAAAATAGATATGTAGCTTGTAGCAACCAATTAGATTCCAGCTGCCATTTTTCTAATGCATTGCAACCTAATTGGCTGATAGGAGCAAAACAGATAATTTTCTTGCTTACAACTTTCATGCCCAAAGCCCCGTGCTTTGCAAATGCAAGTGGAATTAATGGCAAGGGCCATTTGCTCATACCCACTGACTCATAGTTGACTGAACTCTACACTTCATGCGTGGTATGTGTAAAAATATTTTTTCACAGATGTTGATCAGTTGCAGTTTTTGCAGCAATTTGTAAAACTCTTTTGGAGAAAACTGTTAATATTATTATAAACGATTTGAAGACTATGTTTTTAGGAACAGTTGGTGAATGTACACAAACAAAAAACAATCTGTTTTTGCTAGAGTCCGTATATTCTGTAGTTTAACCAATTTCAAAAAGAAGGAGGTTTTAGGAAAAGCCATTTGCATCAGGATTTCAGGGCTCCGGTTATTGCTGCTGTTCTTGGTCGGGAGAGCTGAAATGCAGCAGAGACCAGAGTGCCAAAGATTCCTTGACAGCATCCTACATCAAAGTTTTATTCAACCATGTTTCAGTACCATTGGGTTCACGTAGTAAGTTCTGATAGAACCTTTTTTTCTCTGATTCTAAGACACATTCATTTTTTTAAATTTTACCTTCTATTTCTGCTTCAGAAATGAAGGAAAGGGGAAAAGTGAGACATGCAGAGTCTATTGATCTCTGCGACATGGCAGACCTTGTATTCACAAACCGATCAACTGTATAGTAATTTGATGAATGTTCAACTTTGATCCATCTCTGCATGGTGGAAGCTGTCAATGCACATAGATCAATAATCTCTACTAGTCCTACTTTGCTATTTGTCTCAGCTCCATTTTTGAAACAGGGGCACAATAGAAAGCCGCAAAGGCCTTACTGGTAGGTCACAGACCCATTTTGGACATGCTGCTCCTTTTCTTGTTCTGCTATAAACAAGTTTGCACAACATTTGCAGAACCTTTGAAAATGTCTAGAACCTCTATTGATAAAATACAGCTTGCAATTATCCCCATGCATATTACCTTATACTGTAAGTGCAGTACTAGATTAATAAATTGCTAAGGTCCTCCTATTTTTTTTAAGCTAAAAGGAGAGACAGGGTAAATGTGATAGACTTCTCCACTTTTCCTAGTGTCATAGAGCTTTTACCCTTTTGCACAAGCCTTGATTTTGGCAGTTGGTGTCACCAGCCTTTGGTCCAACTTAAGTGCAAGACACCAGTATGCCTTTGCTCCAGCTAGGTGCAAGACACCCTTCTAGCCCCCTTCCCCCTTCCTAGACAATGAAATACCAATATTTTTGATATTATGAGCTACATAGATATCATATTAGACACTACAGAAATAACATTGGACATACTGAGTGCCAGATATTCCCGACATAATAAGCTCAATGTGAATCTGTTATTTTAACTCCATTGATTATGTTATCTCATGATCATTTTCTTTGAAAAAAATGTAATTTAAAACCAATATTTCATAGGTGTGAAATATTTTTTTTAAATGAGCATTAAGCTGCTGAAGCATTATCTTCTCATGAATAATTACGATCTCACAAAGTGTCATTTCATCACATTTTTCATTTTGAACGGCTCCTTTGCTTGTTCTCCTCAATAGACACCTCACTGAAACTCACAGTTATCGCCAGTTTGCACCAGGCGGTATTTTAAGGAACGATTTACCATATGATCATTTCTGTGAATTGATTTTTACAGTCAAGATACCTCAAAAATCAATAAAATAATGTCTAGGTAAATTCAGCTGATCCGTTACAGTTACATCTTTACTGAATAAAAAGAAAAAAAAAAGCAGACAACACATGGTAATGAAAATATTGCATGCATTATGCTTTTGTGAACTGGGCATAATGAATCTCATTCTAAAAACCCGAAAAAAATGAATGTGTTGCCTCTAGCATAGAAGTCCTATGTGTTGATTTACTAAAGGCAAATAGGATGTTTACTTTGCAAGGGAATTTTCTAGGGATGTCCCGATACCACTTTTTCAGGACCAAGTACAAGTACTTCCCCTCATGTACTTGCCGATACCAATTACCGATACTTTTTTTTAAAGGGACAGGTGACTTTAAATGATCCATAGTACAACTACATGTTATGTACTATGGATCATGATTTAACCTATTCATGTTAGCAGGGGAGAATTGTAAATCTATTGCTGTAATGTAGTGGAGGTGTGTTCTGTATATATGTACTACATATACATTACACACGTCCAGTACACTATAGCAATAAATTTACAGCCAGTCCTGTCCCAGCTTCCCTCACTCACAGTTTCACTCCGATCCCTGTTGCCTCACGCGGTGCCTCTCGTAGTCGGCGCTGGGCAGGATCGCTGCATCGCATCTCGGTGCTCAGCTTTTGGGAGGCGCTCACAATTCTGCCCTGCTAACATGAATAGGTTAAATCATGATCCATAGTACATATACAGCACACACGTCCAGTACACTGCAGTAATAGAGTTACAATTATCCCCTGCTAACATGAATAGGTTAAATCGTGATCCATGGTACATAACATGTAGTTGTACTATGGATCATTTAACCCATTCAGATTAGCAGTGCAGAATTGTAAATCTACTGCTGCAGTGCATTCTATAAGTGCTACATATAGAATGCACTGCAGCAGTAGATTTACAATTCTGGTCTGCTAACATGAATGGGGTTAAATGATCCATAGTACAACTACATGTTATGTACTATGGATCATTTAACCCATTCATATTATCAGTGTAGAATCTATTACTGAAGTAATAGATTCTACATATACAGTACAAATAAAGTGCAATGCAGTAGTAGAGACAAAAAACTAAGCCCAGGCCCCGTCTTACTCACTGTTGCCTTGATCGCGGTGCCTCACGATTTTCCTCACACGCGAGGACGCCGTCGGCGCTGAGCTGGAGAGGAGCGTCACTGCTGCTCCGGTGGGCGGCGCTCCAGGTGGGGTCCTAATTTAGGTGGCTGGCGACTGCCTGGAGCGCCGCTCACCTGAGCAGCAGTGACGCTCGGCACGACGCGGCAAGTAAAAAGAAAACATAGCACAAGCTTCGGCGCTTTGTATCGGGGCATTTTGACGAGTACTTGTCAAAATGTCCTGTATCGGTCCCGATACCGATGCTAGTACCGGTATCGGGACATCCCTAGAATCTTCCCTTAGCTTAGTGAATGAGGCGAAGCTGACTTCCATTATCTGATCACATCCAAGCAAAAATACAGTTTCTTTTATTTATTCCTTGCACATGATTCTTTCCTAAGTGAATTTTCCCCACCTTTACTAAGCTAAGGCAAAATTTCCTTACAAAGTAAACAGCCTATTTGCTTTTAGTAAATAGATCCCCAAGTGTCATTTTTCAGGGGCCGAAACTGAAAACAAAAGCCTTATTGGTTGTAGTCGAAGGAAACATTTTCCTTTGCCTAATTAAAATAGTCTCAATCTTTAAGACCTGAACGAGCATTATATAAGGGAAAATTGCTAAATATTTAAATTCATGACATGAGGAGGTGGATGCACATTTATCCGCTGTGTTTTTCACCTTTAACCCTTTAAGGACTTTATTAAAGGATGTACTTTTAAAACAAGTCCTTCACATTTGTGTTGACTTTGAGCACTAAATCATATTAGGTAACAATGCCATCTTAAAGCAATGCAGCCTTACACAATTACATCTGTTCACCACCAGCATTTTTTTGTTGTTAAAGTTTCCACTGTCTCTAATGCCGGAAGCCCCCCCATTTCAAAGTAGACATATAGCAATAAATCAAGATATTAAAAGAACACACCTTGTCTTTCCACGGGTTCCCTGTTACACTTTTAACAGCTTTAATCCGTGTATTGGTTGTATTCATGTAGGTTACAAAAATGCAGGTATTGT